TGTGTGTGTGTGTGTGTGTGTGCGCCGTGACATGCAAAATACACAAAATACATCCACAATCAGATTTGCAAAATATAAAAAAGGGTCCTAGCAAATATTTAAGTGTAGGTGTTCGGATGCAAATCATTTTGTGTGATGTGCATGTATGCATTATTCATGATGATGTTAGTTGACAGCAAACAATTCACTTGTACAGCATGTCATCAAAGAAACTGCAAATCTCACCAGGTAGTCATCAGGTCGGATCCCAAACAGCTCTCTGAAGTAGCGGAAGGCCACAGGAGCGTAGGTTTTAAACCTGAAGTCTAGGTAGTGGTGGGCGGGCGTGAGGTTGCTGCCTTCACTGTGTGGAGCAAGGCAGAGTTGTTACAAAGAGTGTAAAAGAAGCCGAAGCATTACATAAGATACTTCCCACACACTGGTGATCAAACATACTTGGGGAAGAAAATGCTTTCGACCACGTAGAAGTCTTGCATCAGCACGTCTCTCTCAGGCTTGGAGCTGAGGTTGCCAACGGTGTAGCCAATACCCAGCTGGATGGCCCCTTTCAAGGCAGAGGAGGTGGTCTGGAGGTGGAGAAGTGAAGAGAACAACAGCGTTAGGTGTGGGTGGAAAGTACATGATGAAGTCGTGACTCAAAGCAAACCTACAAATAGACAAAAGACAAAGAGACAAGCAAGAAGAAGATACCTTCTTGTATGTCGTCTCTCCAGAGGCGTCGACCCTTCTGTGACCGATCTTCCTCTCGTGGGCTAGGCCCGCTCCAAACGGGGACGGCATCTGTCAAAAGGATCCAATCAGAGGTCATATGCACAGAAGCAGAAAGTGAGAGAGACATGTGAGACAGGTGAATGGTGTGAAGTGGCCTCTCACCTCTGTGGTCTGAGCCCTCTTGGCGGAATCTGTGGACAGAAACAGAGAGAAATAGACTGAGACAGGTCCAAAGTTCTTTAGAATATTAAGCATGAGTTAGAAATTAATGATAACTGATTGGGGGCTTGGCGATTGTAAGCGGATAAAATAAGTTGAATAAATACCAACCAGCCTCAGGACAAAAATAAAAGTTCCCTTTGATTGAAAAAAAAGGAATAATGTGCAAGCATTAGGTTTTGATATCTTATCTATCATCATCTAAATATCTTAATACAGAAATGCAGATAATTCAAAATATATTATATAATTCAATGATAAGTGCAAAACTGATAAAAACCAAAGCTACAGACTAGCTTCAAATGAATCTTATATTATTGATATATATAGAGATTATATATACTATGCATATAACCATACAGATGCACATCCTTCAGCTCATTCTAACTACTCTGTTTATTTTAAAAGGAGCATGCACAATACCTTTGTTGCATCAGATTAAAGCTAATTCTGGAACTAATACTCCATACAATCTTAACTCACCAGAGGAAGAGTTCAATGCCTACAGGTAATTTATTATAAAGTTTGATAATCCAGAGAGAAAGAAAAAGAAAAACATGCAGAAAAAGAATCCTGCCAGAACCAAACTCTGACATTGAGCGGTCAGACCACTGCAGAGTAGGATGTGCTTTTTTCTATCTTTGGATCAGTCAGATTTGTGCCGAGAAGGTAAAAACTCTATTGGATTGACTTCCTCCATAATCTGAGCGCTGTTATTGGTCGAGGTCACCAGATCACATGGCTGACCAATCACAGAGGGGGATTAGGAGGAATCTTTCCCACCCGACATGAGGGAGACAACTGGACCGTGTCTGTGTATGTTTAATAGGATGAATAAGCAGGAAGGAGGTGAATGAGAAAAGAAACAGTTGACTGTGCTCCAATGTTACTACAAACTACTTTACATCGTGGAGCTGAGTCTCAGGTCATAGGAGGATGAAGATTAAGAGAAGTGTTGCTGATAGAGCAAGTATAATGACTCTGTAAACCATGTTATAGCACACACCACACAACTGTAGTGTATGTTGTTATGACTGAGGCACGACAAAATATAATGACACTTCATACACAATATGAAATGACTTCTAATAGTAATCTGAAATACAAAAAATCTAAACTAACAAGCCTGACGGTGAGGAAGTATCGTCCTGGGGAGACATTAACACGTCAGTGTTAATAGCAAGAACAATCCCAATCCATGGGCTCAAACCGGTGTCATTTACACCATGTTTTGAGCAGTGTTCACCCGTGGATCACAGAGGACATTTAGGCTCAAACACATGGTGGAAGTATGGAGGCATTTTCTGTTTTTTTTCTGTTCTTTTTTACGTTTGAAGAATTTGTCACCATTTACTTCAATTGTATTGAATTTGGCTGCAATGTTGTTTACCCCTGAAACTCTGAAAGTGTTTTATGGATTAACCCACCCCTCTATCAGCATAGTGGTGAATAGATAATGAGTGAAGTTTCATTTTTGGGTGAACTATCCCTTTAAGTCAAATGCTGAGTGTTACATGCTCATAATGACAGTTAGCATGTTGATGTTTTGCAGGTACAATGTTAACCTGGTTTGGTCTGTCATTAGTTTTGAGTTGGCAATAACTAAATTGAAAACCTGATGATGACCTGATGGTGGCGCTAGATGACAAGTCAGCAGATCACCAAAGTCATGAAGACAGGTTACATTGCATCCTACCGGGGGACACATGAATGCACTTTTATTGTTGGACCTCAGAAATAATAGAAGAGATTAAGAAATCTTCTTCTCTGTGAAACCTTATAATATCATTTAAGTTTAAGTTCAAAGTGTTTATTGTCATATGTACAGGCCCTGCACAATGACATTCTGTCTTTGCCTTCCACTATGAATACCGTTAAGAGTTAAGAGAGGAAGATAAATAAATACATGTATTAAGAAAAAAGACAAGGTACACAAATATAGCAACAAATTCTATGCTGCAAACTATCATATGAATATAATTTTAATGGTACATTTATATTTTCTATAGTCTAATGATCACTCAAAGCATTACAGTAAAAATTACATTCACAGTTAGTTCCTATGCAACACTTTTTTTACTTGCGGACCAGAGGAGCCGGGGATTGAACCAACGACCTTCTGGTTAATGGATGACCCACTCTACTCTCTTTTGTATTTTTGTTTGGGTGATGATAGAGGAGAAAAAAATGACATGCATGCATATAACATATTCAATGGAAGTCCATGTATTATTAGTTGAGATATTTCAGTCAGGACCAACATATAAACTGACATCTCCATCCCTACATCCCTGCCAATAGAGCAGCTGAAAAATGAAAAGGGAACGTTAAAAAGTTTGAAACAAATTTGGGAAATTGTGCCAAAACACACCATGTACAATCATGGTGACAAAATTCAGCATTCATCTGCACACAGTAAAAATGACTGCATCCATTTGGGGCCTTCACTCAAGCAGTGACAGGACACACACTGCTACTTACACCTGACACCTCATTAATGCCACATGAAAGCCTGTAAGACAGAACAATGGGTATCCTGAGACACACACGCACGCACGCACGTGCGCACACGCACACACACACACACACACACACACATATATAAACAGACACACAAGCACATACACACACAATCTCTGTAGGATTAGGGTCACGCCAGACTAATGTGCCACTGAGCTGCGAGCAACAAACAGGACAAATTTAGCAGTTTTGATCACTATGTAAGGAACTGGCAACCTGTAAGACAATGTGTGTTTTTAATGTGTTAGGAAAACTCACTCAGTTTGTGATGAAAAATTGTGTGTCAATATTAAGACATGTTTGCCTTATGGCATGTGTGTGTGTGTTTATAAGAGGATTAGATGTCTCCCTTATCTGAACGTGCACATGCAAAGAAAACTTGTCGGACGTGCTCAACAAACTAGGATCAAATTTGCTTCTCTCCCGTTCGGAACATTATATTTGCACATAAACATCGTAAACCTGACAAGGATATTCTGCCATTTTATGTGTAGCCCACAACATTGTCAGAGTTGCTGGAAATTGATATCCACGAGGGATTAGTATGTGGTTTATGCTATAATTCCATATCAGATTATGTAAAGCACTCCTCAGATTTAGCTGTAAAGAGGAAATGGGAAGATTTATGAAGACACACAGAGGTTGAGTAGAGGGACAAAATGGCACAGGAGAGAGAATGTGTTTATTACAGTGGTGCTGAGGGGGCCTTAGTGTAGGTTTCACAGAGATATGGCTCCTGTAGATACAAATGTATGTGTGAGTGTGTGTGTCCTCATTCATGCTGCCTCTTTAAGACCTTTTACAGAACAAACATTGACCATGCCATGACCAGAAGACACCATGTGGACTAAAGCCCAGTCCTAATGAGGCTAAATTTTGAAATCCTAACCAAGGTAATGGATAGATGTGAATTATGGTTATATAGGTTAAGGTTAGGATTAGGCGTGAATTGGTCATGGTTAAGGTTTTGGTTAAGCTGTCAATGAATGAAAGTCAATAAAAAGTCCTAATAAGTCCCTATAGAACGAGGACAGTATAGTAAAGTGAGGACATTTTGGTCAGTCCTCACTTTCTGACCCACTTTCAATGAGCTTATTGAAGGTTAAGACTCGGTAACAAGGTTTAATTTCAGGTTTAGGTCAGGCTTTTAGTTGTGACGGTTAAGGTTAGGGTATAAGGGGCTGGGTAATGCATTATGCCAATGAGTGTCTACACTAAGACAGAAGTGCAAGGCTGTGTGTGCGCGTGTATAACCTACATGCAAACTGTTGTGTGTATGCCCTTACACACCTTGTGTTTGTGCCAACCTGCAGTGAGCCACTAACACTGTGGAGCATCCACAGCTGAGCAGCCCTGACTGTGACACTGTTATCTAACCAAGCTATTGATTATTCATTTCCACAGCTCAGGTTCCTCTCACTACTATTTCCTGCGTCTGTCTCAGTGGAAAAAAAATCTCTTTTTTTTTTTTCGGTCCTTGTTCAGTCTGACTACATTTACATATGTCTGCATGACAGGATCTGCTCCCTATAGGTCCATATTCTCTCCTCCAGTGCACCTGCAGGTTCGGATACACCCTCTGCAATGACTGCACTATATGAAAATGAGTCTGATAGACATACGCACCAGTGTCCCCCAGGTCGAGCTGTATGCTGAGGCTGGCAGACCCGTCATCGCCGGGTTCCGCAGTGCTGCCGTCCATCTCCAGGACGCGCAGCCGTGTCCCTCCTCAAACAGAAGCAGATGTGCGCCTCCACTCAATCCAGAAATCCCGTCATGTCTTCGATGTCCGCTGCTGCAGTCAGGGCCTGTAGCTCCACGGGCGTGTGCATGTCTCTGTTTTCATCATCAAGACTCTGCCTCTGCTGCCGCTGTGCGTCAGCGCTCTCACGCAAAGGATGAGCCGCGTGCAGCTCCAGCATCGTCGTGCCCAGATCACGAGGCACGTAATATTAATATTAGAGGATGACATTTAGTGATGTCAGATAACATAAAGATAAAAGTAAAGCTTACATGATGGAAATCAAATTGTCATGTTTTGAAAAAATGAATAAATTACAGTGAAAAAAATGATATTTCTTTCTTCTTCGTCTGTTGTAAATGGCTGCCAGTGTAGCAGCAGCATATAAACAAAATAATTTACAATGTAAATCTCAGCACATGGAAAGATGGTACTTGGGCGGTCAGATCGAGTTTGCCAGATCTGGCCCACAAGTTCATTCCACATATCAGCCAAAGATGGCCCCAATTTGTTTTGTGCTATTTGAGCCATATTCACCATTTATCACTTTAGGTTCACATCCAGATTGCACCTTGACTAAAGCACCACATTTGCCAAAAAAGGCCCACATTCGTTTAGTAATATTTGGGCCACACTTGCTATTTTACAGGTGGGCCACTTCAGGCTCAAATCCAATTTGTCCAGACTCTCTGAAGCTGTGACAGTAAACGATTTAGCACTTAGGAGTGTCCCTGTGCCATCGAGCATATCCAACCTTTAGGTATCAGTCTCATTTACGCTGGTATGACTGCAAAACGAATCACTGTCCAACCTTAAAAACAGCAGCTTCAAGACAATTTTGATGTCTCACTGATTCCCTGCTCTATTTCTATTTTTCTTTGGGTACGATCTCCCGTGTCAAGTGTGTAACAGACTGATAGTCATAGCTGGAATTGCTAGAAGGGCCTAGCAAGAGTAATGCTGAACTTTAGGAGTTACTTTTTTTTTTTTACAGAAATCATTACATATGCTTGAAGACAAAAGACGTAGAACATCTGGCGCATCTGCTGGCTTCAATAACCATATTGCCAAATATACGCCACAAAACCAGGTTTGATCGGAAAATCAACGTTTTGTGTGGCTGCAGAGGGCGTTGTTGTTCAGTTAAAGTTATATAGTGTTGCTTTGATACTAGTAACAAGACTTCACATTGTTGCTTTTATTATATATATAGTTCCACCCATCACAATTACAAGGTTATGCCTCATTTTATAGGTTCATACTTTCCTCCTCAATTAGGCTATACTTAAAATGTACCAATTAGTCTCCTAATGTATTCTGGGTAATACTGAAATTTGCACTGTATTGAAATATTGAAACACACAAAAGCTTAACAAATCATGGTAGGAATTAACTTAAATCTTATCTTACTGTCTAAAGTAAAACCTTCTGTTATCAGTTACAAAATGCAAGTAGGCTATTCAAATAAACAATATATTATAATATTCAAATGACAGACAACTAAAGTAACCATTCATGCAGTATTTATTTTGCAATTTCAACAGATGCTAATGGTACAATAATGGGCCCATTCATAACTTAAGTGCAAACAATATTATCAGTAGCATTTCAGAAATAAGTGAAATTTATGGCATCTTATATCCTTACATCAAACTAATATTGACACATGCACAAGCTTGTCAACTAACATTCAGAAAGGATAAGATGGGGTTTGTGTAAGAATAAGGAATGGCTGTTTTGAGACTAAAGTAAAATGTGAAGTATCTCTATTTTGATAACTATTGAAACTGTCCTCTCACATGGTCTAATAGGGTTTGGTGTGGGTGAGTTCTGGTAGGTCAGTTGCACGCTGGGGATCATCAGGCTTGCCCTCCCCAATGTTGGGTTTACAGACAAGCCGTCACTAGTCCAGACACCCAAGCACACAAATACCCTTATGTCCATGAAAGAGGTCAAGGGTCAACGGAAGACAGTCATATTAGAGGTAAGGGAGCAGGTCTTTCTCCATATCCTGCAAACAGAAACAAGTAGAAACTTTTACAATTACAGAGATGATGAATGGCATCATTACAGACCATGGACAGAGATTAATTGTATTATATTACATGTACTATTAATTAGCAGTTATTATCTTCCATTTATAATCCACTTTCCCTTCTAATTGTCCACTATGACAAACCTATTGCAACAAATTGCAGGAAAAAAATCCTATGAATTGAGATTGATAATGTTTATCTAAATCAAAAAAGTATGAAACAATATGCATAGGTTAAATATAATGTAACATTAATTGTTGCATTTAACAGAATGCATGGAAATATGAAACTACAAAAACTACAGTGAATGCCACTTACAGAGGGATTAGTCATTGTGCTGTATCGCTTCACCACTTGTCCTTCTCTGTTTATAAGAAACTGTTGAGTATAGAGACATAGACATATTAGCACAAATATGGATTTGAATGAAATTGAGGTAAGAAAGTAGAGCTGAAATGGGTTAATGGCAAGTATATCAGCGAATTACCTTGGTGAAGTTCCATTTGATGTTACTGTGGAGAGAAAGGCACAAAAATGTATTATAACACGACCAGCAGCCATTAACACAAAGACTGTCATTTCATCCTCGGTTGAACACAGAATGTGTAGTTCACCTTAATTCAAGTTTCATTGGATTACAATAATGAACCAAACCTTAATTTATAACAACAGGCAACAGGGCAAACACAGTCAAGGCTGTTTCACTTTTTTTTTTATTCACCTGCAGTGTTTTGATCATTGGCTGCCTTTATTTATTGTTATAAGCTAAAGAAGGACAAAGTGAGGACTTACAATACTTCCTAAACAACTTAGTGTTAAAAGCCATTAATTATTGGTTATTTGAATATACAGTACAGTTTTTCAAAAATTGCCTTTTTTTCATACGTAAAATCACATTCATAGGTAGAGATTTCACATGATGGTTTTCATATTTGTGTGATAATTATAACTACTATCAATTGAGTTCCATTACAGCTTATTAACAGAAGGTTTTTGTAACATACTGGATGCCATCACTTTGTTCCGTCAGTTTTCTGAACTCATTTCTAACATCAGCTTCAAAAGTTCCTTGTCTGTTCCATCTTAGCCAAACATGACGGATCTACTTCTCTGTGAGTCTTGTTACAGTTGGCTTCTTCTACATTTTTTCTGATAGGGCAGGGCTCCACGGTCTCTTTATTATATCAAACTGCTTAATGATGGCATGGATTACGATTGCACTCTTCTGCATGTGTTGCAATCCATTTTCAAATATTGCACCTCAACCTGTTTCAGGTAGGATTAGCCCAGAATTATCTTTTTTCCCCCAGTAAAATTCATGCGCCATTGAAGGCTGTTATAATTTTTGTTGCACAATGTCACCATGCTTGTTAAGTTAACAGTAAGGTTGGGCAATAACTTACTTCCCCAGGGTTCCCTTGCCTTTAGGCTGTGCTTTCATCCACTTCCAAAGAGGGTGAGCATTGTCTCCATTCACATCAATCTTACTGAAGAGGTCAAACTGTACTTTGTAACCTTCAGCAAACTCTTTAATCTGTGATTCAGTCCCTGGCTCCTGAAAACACACACACACACACAGACAGACAGAGAGAAATATATTAGACAAATATTATATTGATCCTAGTTTTGCAACTGAATTGATACAGCTTTACATGGTATGAAATCAAAAGATGTATGTTTGACATTAGATGAATAATCAGTGAAATGATTATCCAACCAGGAACCATTGGGAAATGGAAGGAATGAACAACCTATAGTTTAACAGTTCAGGGGTGATGTGTTTTATGAATGGCAACACTGGGCAGAATTCTTGTGATACAGTACAGAAATGGAAAAAAAAAATGAAACAAACAAAAGCTGTACAGTCATCAGGCTATGCTAGTTACCTGTCCTCCAAACTGGTTGCAGGGGAAGCCCAGGATTCGTAAACCTTTCCCAGCGTAGGAAGCGTGCATGTTCACTAGCTGAGTGTAGTTTACCTCGGTCTTTCCTCATTTAGAGGCCACGTTCACAATGATGCATACAAACCCTCTGGCCGAGAAAAAAAGAGCAAACAAGAATATTGGGGAAAAAACTATGCAAACTATCACTGTTATATTTGTCATGACGAGTACAACAAAGGCGAGACATTTCAACTCCATAATATTCCAATTCTTGCCACTTAAAAGGATAGTTGACCCAAAAATGAAAAGGCACTCATTATCTACTCATCACTATGCTAATGGCGGTGCAAAAACTTTTTGGGAGTTTCAGGGGAAAACAGCATAAATGGCAACAACTTCTTCAAACGTAAAAAACAACAGGGAAAAAAAATTGTGTGGTGTCATCCAAGTGTCAGAAAGCCTTGAAAGCCTTCTCACTGATCTTGTATAAGTTCTCACAGTAACTGCAGTTACTCCATTTGGATCTGGCTGCAATGCTGTTAACCCCTGAAACTCAGTTTTGTGGATTCAAACACTTCACCCATCCCTCCATCAAGTAGAGAAATGAGTGAATTTAAATTTTTGGGTGAACTATCCATTTAAGCCTGTGTGGGAGCACAAGGATGCATGATATTGTGTTTTATACATTCACTTTACCTGTACTTTTCAAAAGACACCTCATTGCCATCGATATCCTTGGCAGAGAACTCGTAGATGGACTTGGCGCTCTGCCAGTCTCCCACCTGAGCACACTGCATACAGGTGAAGGAAAGACATGGATACAGGTGAGGGTGTGTGATTGAGTAACACAGCATGGTTGAAGTCCATTGAGTCAAACCAAAGGTCAAATATAGGTTCAAACTTGAGAAATACACAAGATAAATCAGGGCTGGGCAATAAAACGATATCAGTCATTATTGCAGGATAATATTCATCAGTAGCAATTAATCAAAGGTTCCTCATACATTGATGAGATGCTTAATGGATGCGTAGATGAGGACGGTTAACATATAATTCACTCAGGAGAGCACAAATGAGTCTTTAAACTTAACAGAAATAATAATGTGACATTTATGGGGATAATAAACGATATCGACTGACATTGACAAATTATATGATGTATTTTTTGTTCATAATGTCTCAGCAGTAAAATGACTGAGCCAG